CTGATTTTGACTCGTTACCGTCGCCAATTTTACGCATCAAGCTGTTGCACTTTTCATTCAAAATGTTACGCGATGAACGCGTTAAACGTTTCATATGATGTTTAAGTTTTTTGGCGGATTTTTCACCTCGTTCATCTTCCTGTCTTATAAGTTCTTGCATAGTTGTGAGATCGGTATCCGAAATAGAATGTGGTAAATTGAGGAAAGTAATAGAACTAGATTTATCTATTTTTATATCCCAATCTACTGAACCGCACAAATTTATATTACCTCCGGTGAGAAATTCTAAATATTTTAGAGTACTCCTTTATTCAAATACGGTTTATATGGAAGGTGTGTATAATGGGCAATAATATAACACAAACAAAACATACAAACGAAGTATTAATATATGTTAAAATTTTACACAACAAATTTACAAGTTTATGAAATTTTTTAGTTTTCGACAGCGCACGATATGGGCAAATAGAAAGTAAAAAGTTTTAGTTATTCAAAAGATTAAAAATCAAGTAAAATATTATTATATATACTTCATTTTTTTCTAGTTCCTAGACACTATCAGTTTAGCCTGTCATTTTTTTAGTTTTACTTACTCTTCAATAAGCGCATTGTCCGCTGTGTTTGGTTGTATATTTGTATCTTTTATCAAAGTGACAGCAGTGCCAATGCCACGTGCAACCACACCAACATCACCCTCCAAATCGAAGCATTGCGTATAGCCAATAACTGCATTTGCACCCATATTTATGGCCTTAAGACCCATTTTTCTTTGCACCTTAAAAATAACAAAAATAACAAAAATAATGAATATTATTAATTTTTAATTATAATAATTAAGAATAACCTACTTGTCCTGACAATTTGAGAAAAACAACCTGTCGTGCTTCATTAGAAGCTCGTGGTGTACGTATTTTATCTATCCACTGATATTCCGGATCATCGTTTACTACTAACTCTTCAACAAAACCATGTATAATTTGTGCCCGGTAGCCATGTGGAATGCATTGAGCTATGAAGTATTTATATTAATATTGAATTTAATTAAAATTTCATTTATTTTGATTCATGCTTACAGTGATAAAAAGGTATTCCACAAGAGCTTTGACGAAACTTATTTAGATCAGAAAACAAATCCACTTTGACAATAATGTTCACTTCACCACGTATGCCATGCATCGTATCAAAAACTGGTATCCAGCCAGAAAATACTGTTCCCTTACCTTGCGTTGTTTGCCCTGAAGTTTCTAGACAAAGGGGATTCAAACTAATATTCACTTTGCCGATTGCGTCGTTAGCCGAATAAGTGTCATGATCCATTAAACGAATTTGTAAAGGTTCATCTTGTAGTTCTGCGTCATCCACTTCAAATCGAAACCTTAAAAAGTTAGTTGCTTATTATTTAATTTATTACTTTAAATAATGTTTACGAGTTATCTTAAGCAAGTGTCGTTTACTGATATCGCTTTTCCTAATTTTCACTCTTCTACCTGCCTCTGCATTCGCATGTACTTACTGAACACTTACCAGTCTGTATTCCAATGTGGATTTAAAGATTTGCGACAAACATCCGTTTTTTGTGTTATTGTTCCTAATTTAATCTCGACATATGCATCTGTCGTATCACTGCTTCTGTCCATTATTGGTAAATTTCTACCAGCTTTAATTTTAACACCAACCTTGCCTGGCATTTTGCTATATACTATTTAATACTATTTATTAAACAAATTTCATATATTTTTTGCGCTATGAAGTGTGTTTATTTCTTTTATTTTTAATTTTAACAATTTAAGAATTTCTGTTACATTTATACAGTGTTATTAAAATTTTCTTATTGCTATTAAAAACTACTTATCCTACTACACAAATTATTTATAGAACATATGACGTAGATAAACATTATCTGACGGTTATGTCGCCAAATTCAACATTGTCGTAATTAATTGAGTATCAATTTAAATTCAGTACCACACCATTTTTATTTTATATAGCAAATAATACGATATAGCATTTTTCTCTCTTAAAATCCATATATATATATAAATTCTTTACAATTTTTATGAACTAATAAAACTGAGGTTTATCTCGATACTTAATTTAAAATATCACAAGTAATGTTTATCATGTCATACACAAACAGATTTACACCACTAAGATCGCTACAACGTTTAAATTAACTTTACTCACCAATTATAGAAACTCTCTTTTGTCGTATTTGTCGTATTAAAATATAACCTGAAGACTCTAATGTCTTATTTGAGTTTGTATTAAGTTTTTCAACTAAATACTAAATAAAATATAGTCTATTAAGAAAAGTCTATTATTAAAATATAGTCTATTCATGATTAAAATATGATTAATATATAAAAAATTTGTCGTATTAAAATATAACCTGAAGACTCTAATGTCTTTATTTGAGTTTATATTAAGTTTTTCAACTAAATACTAAATAAAATATAGTCTATTAAGAAAAGTCTATTATTAAAATATAGTCTATTCATGATTAAGATATCTACAATTAATACGGCATTTACATTTTGTGATTAAAAGTAAATTAATCAGGCATCCTGTGCGTTATCGCGTTGTTCAAAACGTTGTTGCTTAGAAATAAATGTCCGAATGTACGCCTTTTAGGTGTAAATAACATGTATTTTATTATGGATATGTAATCCCCATTTTGGTGACTACTATTAAAATAGTATTTAAAATAGAAAATTGACAATTATGATATAATTTTTTGTATTACATAGCGTAGAAATCAAAAAAAAGAACAGAATACAAGAAACCTAAACAAACATAAACTCAAGCTTAATCCGAACAACGAATGGCTTGCACCATTTAAAATTTAAACTTTAATACCAACAATCGAATAGAATGTTTCCGAAAAAGTTCAATAAGGCCCATGTTATGTACAGTGTCAAAGGCAAAACATGAAAAAAAGTGTTATTGCCTTCAACGCAAATTGTATAATTGAGAGTGAGAATAAAAACAATATGTCGGTTTAAATTCCGTCATGAGAACCGAGACTATCTGTGTCTTGTCATTTCGGCAAAGAAGTCTTGTCCAGTAATAAATTGCGCCTTTTAAGTGCAATTTTTACAATTTCAATACGTTTTGAAAAATAAAATGTCAGAAAGCGACACAGCCAATTTTATAAACAGTTAATAATCTAATTCTTACACTTTCCGATTTTAAGGAAAGGCGTATAATTTTGTAAGTACTGTTAACAATTATTATAAGAAAAAATAATAATAAATTAACATTTTTACGGCCTCTATGAGTTTTTTTTGCTGGTTATTTTTGGTGGCAAATTGAAAGTGAGCATATCTATATATCCTTTTAAATTTAGGGACAACTAAAAAGTGCAAAGGTAGTAGTAAAATAAGAAATTAGCAATACTGATGTGAAACTCTACATAACATGCATTTTCGTCATAGTCCAGCCAAATTCGCCACACCTCTGACGCTCTACATAACATGACACATACGATAGCTGATTGATGAGAATAATGCTTTTAGATAATGAGTTTCGCTTTCTTGTCAATTTTACATATGTCAAATGAGATTGTAGATAACTTTATAATTTACAAAATACAGGCGCAATTTTCTAAATTATTCAAGAATGGAAAGTGAAGAGGAATTGGTTTGTGGTGCATACAAAAAACTTGCAATAAACGATAATAATGAAGCACACTCATTGCAAAGCGTGCAAAAAAATCGCACAATTAAACAGACTAATGATAACTTCAAACCAACAATTAATCAGCCAAATGAACAAAAGGAAGACCATGGGCAAGAAACAGATGACTCAGATAATGATATCCTTGTACAAAACTACAACATGAAATGCAAAACAAATAAAGAAAACATACGACTCTTAAACAGAGTGGATAGATTAGAGGTAAAAAAGTGATAATTATTTTGCCTATAAATAAAACATTTTATTTTCAGTCGGAAAATTACGAAACTCTAACCAGGCACAGCAAAGAAAATATTAAACCTGAAAAATTATTACACACTTTGTCCATGCCAAAAATTAATGCCACGAGTCACCTAATGAAAGATATGCATACTTTAAAATACATTAAATTGCCTAAAATAGAAAAACTCGACGATTTGACTCCTGTTTCGAAAGCTAAAATAGCTTCTAAGGTATAATTTAAAACATTTCTGTTTTGTTTTTAATATTTAATTTAAACTTTCTTCTGCAGATAACCAGAAAACTCAACTTCAAACCAAACGAACAAATATTTAAAAATCTCATTTCTTTAAATGTTTCAGAAATCGAAGAACCCTTGCATAAACTTAAAGTGAATATAAAACACGTAAATAATAATATTCAGGTGCTTGAACCAAATTTAAGTTATTACTTGGATCCACTTCCTCCGCTTTCACCAGTAAAACCTTTTCCTGCAACACGACAGAGAAAAACAGAAGAACAAAATCGTAAACAGCTTGCTTGCATGGAGCTTCCCGGTGCACTTGAATTATATAGACGCATATTTGAAAAGGAAGAAGAAACTAATGTATGCACTTTAAGCAATCATGAATAACAATTGTTTTTATCCTGACCAATTTGTTTTAATTTACGTTATTAACTGTAGGTGTTAATAGCCCAATATTGGATTACTTTCGATATCAATGTTACTCTATTACGACTGAATATCAATGAGAATATCTTTGCAATTATTTTACTTAGCAAACAAAAAAGCATATACCTCAACACTTGGAATTGGGTGATCATATTAAATTGCAAAGTAATTGTTTGTAGGCAGCTTTTTGCATCGAAAAACGAAGTGGTGGTCTTTCTAAACACTAAAGAATAAAAAACTTTTTAAGATATATTAACTTATCCTGGTTTTTAAATTAAAATTAGCGAAAATATTTTAGTAAATAGAACACGTCCTACAAATAGTTCAAAAGGTTTGGTGAGCCATATGGACGAAAATAAGAAACTGGATCAAACTTTTGGTAACTAATGACGAAATAAAATATTTAAAACTGTAATTATAATCGAAATATAAATTTCCAAGTGAAATTAGTGCTCAAACTATCAACAATAAAGAATTTTTTCAATTAATGATCAAGCGACATGAAATGTAAAGGTATATTCCAAGTGTTAATGTGAAGTAGCTTGGATAAGTTCATAGCTTAAGAGATTGTAAAAATTCTTGTTTGTAGCTAAATAAACAAAATGAATTCAATAATATATTACTTCAATGCAAAAATGATGTAATCCAAATCGAAAAATCGTGTAACTCGTATGAGAAAAATGTTATGTATACTAACAATTAAAACAAAGAGTTGTAGTTTTGAGCTGCCGGATAAAATAGCATATATATAGAGGAAACATATCATAATAGAAGCACGAGATGATAATTATGCACCAGTTTCAATTTCCTTGTCAGAAAATAGCTACTCACATTTCAAATACTACTACTTCATTTCACTTCTAATTAAATTTGGTGAAATAATTAAAAATATTATTGATCTAACAAATAATAAAACTAACAAAATAAATTGATTAATATTTATATCTCCTAATATATATTCTTTTCTATAATAAATTACTAAAGCAGAGATAAATAAAACAAATTATATAAAAATTAATCTCATTCATTTCAAATAATAAGACGCATTCCATATCATTTATTTTATATATTATAACAGATCTTTTTAAAGATAGGATTTACTTAATGTAAACATACTATGCTCAAAAATTATCCGGATGTTTTTGTTTGTTAACTACTCCTTAAGTAATAGACCTTTTCTTGTTACATTGGTACACCCCTTCTTGACATATGGTACAAATTTGAGCGCCATCTGTCAATTAGTTTGTTTACAGCAGCTGTTAATGTGAGACTACCTCAAGTGCATTTAGCGATTTTTACTATGGAAAATCTGTGTTGTACGCGATTTTTTGACCCAACACGGCACCACTGTTATCGCTCACCACTGTCACTTTTTCCTGTTCCCGAAACTCAAATTGTGCTTTCGTGGAAAGCGTTTTGAGTCGATTGAATCGGTAAAAGAGAATTCGCCGAAGGAACTGAAACCCATACCTTCACGGGCCTACGAAAAGTGTATGGAAGATAGGGTTAAGTGTTGGCATATGTGTATCGTTTCAGAAGGAGCATATTTTGAAAGAAATAAAATAAATTTAGAATAAAATTAAAATGTGTGTCTTTTATTTACAAAATTCGGGTACTTTTTACTTTTTATAATATAAACGGAATAAAAAAAAATAGATACAAACTTTTTGAGATAAACAAAATGATCTAGTTAAAAAAACGCATCATGTACTTAAAAATATTTAATAAACTAATATATAATAAACTGTTTAGACAGGTTAGGTCAGGTTCGGAAGGCATATATTGCCCATTGTGATGCCCTCAAAATATATTGTCGGGAGAGGCGAGTTGCTAACCTTTGTTATCCTTGTTATATCATTTGGTTTTCCAGATGAAATTAAAGAGACCCGATAAATTTGCCAGTGAAAAAGCGATCCCCAAGACATTGAAGTCGCCTTGTCTGAAGTCCTGGACAGAGACACAGGAGGTGGTTGATAGATTCTACCTCCTCTTCATCTTAACAACTCCTGCATAGTCCATTTGTTGGAACTCGCCACCGTTGAAGCATAGGCGCAATACCACAGTGCACCGTTAGTAATCCAGTAAGCACACGAACTATAGGTTTGCTAAAGCAAACCTGTCCAACCTAGGTCATAAGGTTCTAGTGAACTGACAGTCTTCGCAGCCCATAAATTGCTAGTCACCGTATTGGTGATTTCCTCTATTATCCTAAACAGTTCACATATCGGTGTATGTATTGAGAGGTTGGCCTCTCCTGTATGCAGTTTAGAAGCTCTTCTGACCATCTCGTCTGTTAGTTCATTCCCTTTAATATTGCTATTTCCAGGAACCCAGCAAAGAGAGACCTTGTGATGTTTGATGCTCATCTGTGAGGCGAGACATTTTAATACAATCTTGAATTTAACCGTTTTAAATTCAATTGCTTTCAGTGCAACCTGGCTGTCTACAAAAATCAGGAGATTCGAGGGATGAAATGTTTTTTGTTGTATAAAGTTGACCGCTTTTTCGATAGCATATACATATCTCGACCTGAAAGACACTACAAGTATCAGGGAGTCGGTAGGACTGCCTTAACTATAGCTGCATATCATTCGAGAAGATACCTGCTCCCGTACCGCCCTTCATCTTTGAGTCATCGGTGTAGATGGTGACTCCAGAGTTACCTGTCACAGATCCAAGCTCCCAGTTATCTCTGGTTGAATAAAGAGTGAGAATTCTGGTATTGAAATTTAGTATTGGTGTCATGTAGTCTGTAGCAGAATCTAGATTCGCCTTGACTGAGCCATGACCCATCCTTCTAATCTGCTTCAAAATTGTACGGTGTGCGTAATTAGGTGGTTTCCACATCTTAGACTCCCAAAGTCTGAGAGCACTTTAGGCAGCACAGCCAAGATGTTTAGATAATTTGTTGTTAATATATAGAAGTTTTTATAAACTAGATGTTTTTATGTAATTTCTTTTGAGTTTCTATGTCGGTATTTATTGAAAAATTAATTTACGTTTTAAAATAAAGCACCGATTTATTTTATCTTAAATAAATAATATATTATAAAATAATATTTATATTATAATATATATAAATATATTATAAAATAATATTTATATGTATTTTTTAAAATTATAATTGGTTTAAATTTATTTTAAATTCTATTCATATTAAATTTAATTAATTTTTTGTATATGTAAAGTGGTTTATTACATTTTATTAACTAAACAAATTTATATAAAAGAAATATTAAAGTTTTGGTTATATGTTCAGAACCTAGTTTTTAGAATATGGTTTGAAGTGTAAACAGGGTTTGGATAAATCATTTCAATGTAGAACATAAGTTTCGTTCCCGCTTTATTTTTACTATATCGATTTATTTTTCGACGCCATATTTTACTTTGCTTGTGGCAAGGGATTTTATTGTCGTGTTTGCTCTAAGAAACAAATAAAATCTTTTTACTAAAATTATAGAATAAGTGTTGATATATATATGAAATTGCTTGATAGCTGAAAATATATTTTTTAAATGCGAATTTTTGCATGTGAATATTGATATAATTAAAGAGTGAAAGACTCACCGGTTGGAAGCAACGTAAAAGAAAAAAGCGTATACATATAGTGCATATAACATAAGTTAACTTGATATATATATCATATCATAAAATGGAAGCAGTTCCAACAGCAGCTGTTGCACCAGTAAGTGGACCACCTGCGCCACGTGGAGGTTACAGAGGGCGCGGTGGCATGCCTATGCGCGGTTTTGACCGTGGTCGTCCAAGAGGTATCGGACGTGGCCACTTTATGGGTGGTGTTGGCCGTGTGGGGGGACCAGGTGGTATGGGTGGTCCAATGCCTCAAGGTACGTCTTCAATAAAAAATTACGCCTCTTAAAACTTATTGTTTATATTAGTTACGCATATATATACAATTAAATATAATTTGAAAAGTATATCATATATAATGATGCGGCTTGTATGTGTGATGTGTATATGTATTTTGCTTTGCTTGAATTTCTGCGAAAAGATATATAGCCCAGAGGGTACATGTCGCGTTGGGAAAAAAGTGCGCAAACTCAATAAGGCTGCATACCAAATATATAACATGCTTTAAAGCTAAGTTTTTAGAAGGCTAAGTTTAATAGCTAATATAGGTTTTGTGTTCATTTCATAAAAAAAGCAAGATGATGTGTTTGCTGCGGTAGTTGCTCTCTTATTAAATTATTTATTAATTAAATAGCTGTCAATGTGTGTAAATTTAGACCTAATATTTCTTGAATAAATTAAAGGTATGATGGCTCCCAGAGGTATGCGTATACCCAGAGGTGGTCAAGGCTACCCTGGCCGTGGTGGGTTTATGCCACGTGGAGGTGGTATGCGTGGTGGTAGACCTCCAATGTATGCACAAAGTAAGTTGATAAATTCTCAAATATTTTTTCACCACCTCATATTTAAATTTCCTGTATTTCATTACAGCTGTGAAACAACATTCAGGTGCAGACAATAACAAGACAGTATCACCAGTTCCAACCGCTACTGGAAATACTACAACTACAGCAGACGAAGAAACGTCAGTTTCAACGTCTCCAACCACAGCGGTTGGCACAGCAAGTGGAACTAACTCAATATCTGCTCCTGTTAACACAAATGGGTCAAATGGTGGTATTTCACATCCTCGTGGTCCACCCCGTGGGGGTCGTGGCGGTTTCATGAGAGGTGGCGGGCGTGGTGGCTATAATCCACATCATAGTAATGGTGTAATGCATGGGTCAATGGGCGGTGCACCTGATCATGGTGGTATGCCAATGCGTAGAGGTGGACCACCACGTGGACGTGGTGGATATGGTCAAAGCATTAACCGTTCACCTCATCATCATCAACAACACAGCGCTAACACGCAAATAGCTCCAGTACCCACATTGAAACGTGGTGCTATAGGTGGTCATCCCGGGCCAAAGCGTGGAAGATATGAAGGTATACCATATTCACAACGCCCAATGACACCAAAGTATCATCAACAACAACAACATGTTGCATCAATGCCGCCACAATCTAGCTATGCAGCTCCACCCAGCCATCATGCGCAAACACACGGGTATATATATATTTTTTTTTGAGTGCTATTAAAGTAGTGTTTTTATATATATTTTTTTATTTAATATAGACATCATGGATATGCTTCTCATGATCAAAGCCAAGCAGTAGACCCGTATGCACAGTCTTATGCTGCACCAGTTGCACAGACTACATACAATGGCTATGCGCAGAGCAGTGGTTATG